GAAAAATGTTTGCAGCTTCAAAAGGGCAACCACGTTGGTTTAAACCTTGTAGCAGAGATGTGTACATCACAAGACTGGCTGTACATGTAAAGTAGTAAATATACACTATATTTCCAAAAGTATTGGGACGCCTGCCTTTACACGCACATGAACTTTAATGGCATCCCAGTCTTAGTCCGTGGGGTTCGATATTGAGTTGGCCCATCATTTGTAGCTATAACAGCTGCTACTCTTCTGGGAAGGCTGTCCACAAGGTTTAGGAGTGTGTCTATGGGAAAGATTGACCATTCTGCCAGAAGCACATTTGTGAGGTCAGGCACTGATGTCGGATGAGAAGGCCTGGCTCGCAGTCTCCGCTCTAATTCATCCCAAAGGTGTTCTATCGGGTTGAGGTCAGGACTCTGTGCAGGCCAGTCAAGTTCCTCCACCCCAAATTTGGTCATCCATGTCTTGATGGACTTTGCTTTGTGCTCTGGTGTGCAGTCATGTTGGAACAGGAAGGGCCATCCCCAAACTGTTCACACAAAGTTGGGAGCATGAAGTTGTCCAAAATGTCTTGCTATGCTGACACCTTAAGAGTTCCCTTCACTGGAACTAAGGGACCCAAGCCCAACCCCTGCAAAACAACCCCACACCATAATCCCACCTCCACCAAACTTTACACTTGGTACACTGCAGTCAGGCAAGTACTATTCTCCTGAGAACCACCAAACCCAGACACGTCCATCGGATTGCGAGTTAGGGAAGCATGATTTGTCACTCCAGAGAACACATCTCCACTGCTCTAGAGTCCAGTGGTGGCGTGCTTTACACCACTGCATCCGACACTTTGTGTTGCACTTGGTGATGTAAGGCTTGGATGCAGCTGCTTGGCCATGGAAACCCATTCCATGAGGCTCTCTACGCTATGTTGTGCTAATCTGAAGGCCACATGAAGTCTGTAGGTCTTTAGTTATTTATTCTGCAGACAATTGGCAACTTCTGCACACTGTGTGCTTCAGCATGCCTGACCCCGCTCTGTCATTTTACATGGTCTACCACTTTGTGGCTGAGTTGCTGTTGTTCCCAGTTGCTTCCACTTTGTTATAACACCACTAACAGTTGACCGTGGAATGTTTAGTAGTAAGGAAAATTAATGGATGGACTTATTGCACAGGTGCAACCTATCAGGGTACTATGCTTTGGCAATATAGTGTATACAGTTAGGTCCATATACAGTTGTGTTCAAAATAATAACAGTCAGACATCACTAACCTGATCAATCACTGTTTTTGGTAGAAAATATATTTCTACATGGCAAATAATTTACTAGCAGTGTGTAGTAGAGCAATAGAAATCCAACAGACCCAACAGTCTTGACATGCATGCTGCTGATTCTGTGTAATTGAATCACTAATTGAAAGGGGCATGTTCAAAATAATAGCAGTGTGGAGTTCTATTACTGAGGTCATTCATTCTTTGAAAAACAGGTGGCAATTATTGCCCTTATTTAAGGAAGGAAGGCAGCAAATGTTGTACATACTGGTTACAGTGCATTTCTCTCTGAAATTCTGAGGAAAATGGGTCATTCCAGACATTGTTCAGAAGAACAGTGTACCTTGATTAAAAAGTTGATTGGAGAGGGGAAAACATATAAAGAAGTGCAGAAAATGATAGGCTGCTCAGCTAAAATGATCGCAAATGCTTTAAAATGGCAACCAAAACCTGAAAGACGTGGAAGAAAGCTAAAAACTACCATTCGAATGGATAGAAGAATAGCCAAAATGGCAAGGACTCAGCCAACAATCAGCTCCAGGAAGATCAAAGAAGGTCTAAAGTTACCTGTGAGTACTGTTACAATTGGAAGACGCCTATGTGAAGCCAAGCTATCTGCAAGAAGCCCTCGCAAAGTCCCACTGTTAAAAAAAAGATGTGCTGAAGAGGCTACAATTTGCCAAAGAGCACATTGACTGGCCTAAAGAGAAATGGCGCAACATTTTGTGGACTGATGAAAGTAAGACTGTTCTTTTTGGGCCTAGTGGCCGGAGACAGTTTGTCAAACGACCCCCAAACACTGAATTCAAGCCACAGTACAATGTGAAGACAGTGAAGCATGGTTGCGCAAGCATCATGATATGGGGATGTTTCTCATACTACGGTGTTGGGCCTATTTATCGCATACCAGGGATCATGGATCAGTTTGAATACATCAGAATACTTGAAGAGGTCATGCTGCCTTATGATGAAGAGGAAATGCCCTTGAAATGGGTGTTCCAACAAGACAACGACCCCAAACACACCAGTAAACGTGCAACATCTTGGTTCCAGAACAACAAGATTGATGTTATGGAGTGGCCAGCCCAATCCCCGGATCTTAATCCAATAGAAAACTTGTGGGGTGACATCAAAAATGCAGTTTCTGAGGCAAAACCAAGAAATAGAGAAAAACTGTGGAATGTAGTCCAATCATCCTGGGCTGGAATACCTGTTCACAGGTGCCAGAAGTTGGTTGACTCCATGCAACACAGATGTACAGCAGTTCTCAGAAACAGTGCTTATACAACTAAATATTCATTAAGTGATTCAAAGGAAAGCAAAATCTTCAAACATTTTTCAGTTTATATAGTGAATGTTTTGAGTTTGTAAAGAAGAATACAAACACCGCTTTTTTTTTTTTTGAACAGTCTAATATTCACTTTTCTTCAATTTAGTAAGAGGAACAACACAAATTTTGATATATTTTTCTTCATGTTTTGATTTGGAATAGAATGTGTAGTGTTCCCAATGCATTTCTGTGTATGGAAATAAAAGCTATTAGAAGGATTTTGAGCTTTATTCACTTTTTTCAACACACTGCTATTATTTTGAACACAACTGTATATTAGCACAAAGGAACTATTTTAGTTTTTTTCAGGTATTTACCAAAACATATTCAAGTTATATAATTGATATGGGATGAAAGTGCACACTCTCAAGTTTAATTTGAGGGTATGTTCATCCAAATTGGAGGAAGGGTTTAGGAATTACAGCTCCTAAGAGTAGTCATCCTCTCTTTTTCAAGGGACCAAAAGTAATTGGCCAATTGAATCAAAAGCTGTTTCATGGCCAGGTGTGGACTACTCCTAAATTATTTCTTTATCAATTAAGCAGGTAAAAGGTCTGGACTTGATTCTATGTGTGGTATTTGCATTTGGAATCTATTGCTGTGAACCTATATCATGCGTTCAAAGGAGCTGCAAGTGAAACAGGCCATTGTAAGGGTTCAAAAACAAAACAAATCCATCAGAGAGATAACATTAGGAGTGGCCAAATCAACAGTTTGGTACATTCTGAGGGAAGAAGAATGCACTGGTGAGCTCAGCAACATAAAAAGGCATGGATGTCCATGGAAGACAACAGTGGTGGATGATCGCGGGATCCTCTCTATGGTAAAGAAAAACCCATTCACAACATCCAAACAAGTGAAGGACACTCTCCAGGAGGTGGGCATATCATTGTCAAGGTCTACAATCAAGAGAAGACTTCACGAGGGCAAATACAGAGGGTTCACCACAAGGTGCAAACCATTCATAAGCCTGAATAAATAGAAAAGCCAAATTAGACTTTGCCAAAAAAAACATCTAAAAAAGCCAGACCAGTTCTGGAAAAGCATTTTTTGGACAAATGAAACTGAATGGCATGGGCATGCATGGCTTCCAGTGGCACTGGGTCATTGGTGTTTATTGATGATGTGACAGAAGACAGAAGCATCCGGATGAATTCTGCAGTTGTCAGAGTACTGCTTGGACCTTGAAGAAGAGGACATACCCCGAAAGCTTGCCCTGAAAATTGTATGTTAGTGCAAATAAAAAAAGTATAACTGTGTATTGAGCCATTTGTCTGGGATTCCACTTTAATGTAAAGCTACCTCTAAAGCAGAACACCAGCCAATAATAACAAAATAGGAATGAATAGGCAGCCCAGTGGCACTTCCAATTAGCAGCATTAAGGTCATTGTTTTGAATCCCAACCACGCCACTAGCTGTGTGGAGTTTGTATGTTCTCTGTGTGCCTGTGTGGGTTTCTTCCCACACTCCAAAGACTTTCTTGTAGGTTCATTGGCTCCTATCTAAATTGGCCTAAGTATGTTTACACATGAATCTGAGTTAGGGACCTTAGATTGTACACTCCTGGAGGGTTAGCGACTGATGTGACTGTACAATGTATGCAAAGTACTGCATAAATTGACAACGCTTTTAAGTACCTGTAATACATAATAAATAAATAAAGGACTGTTCATAGATAAACTAACAAAACCTGCTATTGCTGCAGCATTCCGTTTCCCTTTCATTGAGAAATTTCCCCTGTAGTACCTTTTTGCTGCCACTAGATGTCCTTAGCATTATTCAAGCAACTTGATAGGAATAAGGATAATGGCCAGTTGGAATGTATAGAAATTTTAGCACTCCAGATACAAATATGCATTTGCTTGTGAATACTTGGGAAGTGAAATATCTTTTATTGTTGGAGCAAATGTCTAACCACTATATAATGTTATTAGTTCGCTTTGTGGTGCACTTAAAGCGGTAGTAAACATGTTCGAAAAAAAAAAAATTCCCCCTGCAAAGTAATATCATAATGTGCTAGTATGCATTTCTTACTAGCACATTATGTGAAACTTACCTTAAAATGAAGCCCTCCAGCTTCACTGTCACTGCTGACAGGGCTTCCATCTTCACCCGTTCTTCTTTCTGGGTTCCTGGGCTGCAGCTGCTTAAATGGTCGAGTCGCCGATGACGTCGCTAATGTGCATGCCCCGCGGGAGTTTCGGCCATGGCACACAGCTCTGAAGGAACAGCACGGGGATGCCGTTCCTTCAGAGCGCATATGCCAGCTCTGTAGAATCTCTCCTGAAAGGTGCACATTTAGGAGATATTCATTTTACCTACAGGTAAGCTTCATTATACACTTACCTGTAGGTAAAAATAGAAATGAGAGTTTACTACCACTTTAATGAAAGTAGAGACAAATCAGGTGTTTACCTCCGCCCGTGTTGCTACATCTCTTAGCTTGACCACACCATCTTTTATTTCCTGATCCCCAATAATGGCCACCAGGGGAATCCCTGCACTCTCACAATAGTGCAGCTGGGTGAGCAATTTAGGATTCTTCTTGTACAGCATTTCTGCCTGTGTGGAAGAAGGAAAGACAATATGTTTTTTTACTTGAAGGCTATGCTTGCAAAGATTTTTTTCAAAGATTGGGTGCATGTTCAGAACAAAATGCTTTTATAAACTATTAAAAATCACTAAATATATTCTCTGGGTTAATTTATGTAGTGCTAAAATCACTATCGTATTTTGCAGTTCATTCTAAACTTTTAAAGAATGACAGATTCAGTTAACTGCTGAGACAAGAAAAGCAACGAGTGGTGAGAAAATACTTTATCACTCAGATCAGCGAATCCCAGACATTTCTATGAATGACACATTTAAAAAAGAACTCAAAACAGCTTGTATCTAAAACCAAAAAAATTGGAACCATTCGTTAACAGAGCGATGTGTGCAGGTTATTCATTATTCTACATTTGTGCATGTGGAAATTCTAAGTCTAATTTGTTTATCTATGTGTTGTGTTATAAATAATAAGTTGATGAAATGATTATCAGCAAAGTGGTCAGAGGAGGGAATAAGGGTCAGGAAATTTAAAATCACTAAAAATCTAAAAAGATTTAGAACTAGAAAGTCAACAATGCTCAGCCTTCTACTGGCAAACAATGATTGATTTAGGTGGATTAACAGTATAACAGCTGCAGCAGGATGCTGGTGAATTGCACTGGCTACTGAGGGGTTAACGCATATACTCTGGCAGGGGTGAGCAACTGCGTCCCTCCAGCTGTTGTGGAACCACAAGTCCCAACATGCCTCTGCGAGTCATGCTTGTCACGGTCAGTCTTACAATGCTTTGTGAAAATGTACTTCCACATCAGCTTGAGGGCCACAGTTTTCCCACCCCTGCTCTGGAGACCGATGACTATAGGGTTAAAGTGTTACTTAACCCATGATCCTGCATTAACTATATCTGGTCTCCCATAGTACACACAACATGGAAGTGCAATTATTCTAGTAAATATATACTGCTAAATACCTTTTCTCATCAGCAGTTAGAGCAGTCTTGTGATTTCTATCAGTGGCCAGAAGAGCACTGGTTAAAGCTTCTAGGAGGAGTTTTATTTCTGCTCTAGGAGGGTGCAGAACCCATGACCTCTGTCTGGACAGTGCTGATTGGCCCTGTGCTGATCACATGCACTCTTCCAAGAGGAAAAAATATCTCTAGCAGTACACACCAAGCTGAGCATGTGCAGAGTGACTTCACATGATACGTGTTATCAGGAGATAAGAGGGGGACACTGGAAGAAGGGGGGGATTATAGAAGTCAGGATCAAACAGAGTTTTTACACAATGCAGAGAATTAACCCCTTAGGTTCCTCAGTGAGTAGAACAAGCATGCTTTACTGCACATACAGGCTGATTTTATTATTGTGGGTTTAGTAACACTTTAATGCACATAATCTTGAGAATAGTTACGAAGGGCTTAATGCCCATATTTTGGAGACTGGTCACTGAGGGTAAATGGACATAATGTAGAGAATGGTCATTGTGAATGCTAGAGCCTTGATACTAAGGGGTAAATGCATCACTGGGATACTAGCAGCTACCAACACTGGAACTGATTCACTAAAACTGGAGAATATATAATCTGGTGCAGCTCTGCATAGAAACCAATTAGCTTCCAGTTTTTCTTTTTGTGAAAGCTTAGCTGAACAAGCTGAAGTTAGAAGCTGATTGGCTACCCTGAACAGTTGCACCAGATTTCACACTTTCCAGTTTTAGTACATCAACCCCACTGTCTTTTACTTCAATCCCTGTGTGCAGACTGATGAGAATTGTACGAGCAAGAGGAACAGCAGATCACCATCCTAATGCACCACTAGGTGCAATTTATTATCTCCAGATTTATAATATGTAGCTTCTGTTTTTGCAGAAATGCAAGAACCTTGCCACTTGCAGTAACTCAATGCTGACTATGCTAAAGCAAACACCCTATAGCAAATACAATGCACAGAAGGTAGTTTAGGTCCTGCCCTGCATTTCAGGGATATGGAAGGAACAACCTTGTTTCCAAATATGTAAATATAGTTTGTAAATATCACGATCATTGCCAAGCTGTCCTCTATGGGGTGAAAATGCCTGCTGACATGTATCATCCAGAAAAAAAAAGGAAAAGGGAAGAACAAAGAGTGAAAAAAGAAGAGACGAAAACGTAGAGAAGGAGAGAGAAACAGAAGAGAAAAGAAACAGGAGAGAAAGAGAAAAAGTCAAGAAAGGAAGAGAGCAGGGGACTGGCCATATGGAAACTCGGGCACTGCCCGAGGGCCCGGGCTCAGTAGGGGCCCCATGAGATGCCCCTGGTACCTTTTTCATAGGCTTTTTTGAGTTTGGGCAAGGACACGGGCCCCATGATCTCCTTTTGCCCGGGGGCCCCATGAGTTGTCAGTCCGCCCCTGGAAGAGAGTATCACAACCCAGGACTAGCATGGACAACCACAACTGGTTGAAGGTAGGGATGGGAAGGAATAGCTTATTCAAGGTTCCCAAACTTTAAGGAACTTTGGGTGTGAGTCCTTAGGAATATTGGAGGAGTCTTCCAGACTGTGCTATGTTTAGCAGAGATAAAAAGATAGAAAGCCAATTTCTGTTTGTGTGTTAAAAGGCCCAGAATATGGAAATGTAGGAGGGCCAATCTGGCATCCTTGTGTACCATCATATGGAACAAAGCCTCCAGCAGGCAAAGAACCTTAGACCAAAAGCCTATCAGTTGTGCGCACGACCACCAAATGTACAGGACGTCCCCGCGCTGACCATAATTCCTTAAACACCTGTTGCTGCTGCCAGGATAGGCATGAGCAATCTGAGCCAGGACCCAGTTCCACCATAGGAGAAGTTTATAGGCGGCGTGAAGTGTAGTCGTGTTAAAGGAGCATTTAGCCACCATCTTCCAGGCCTTGCTCCAGTTCTCTACCTCAATAGATGAACCAAGATCGCGCTCTCATTGACCCACAAAGGAAAGGGATGTTAAGGTAGTTCTGCTGTTAAGAAAGGCGTAAAGTGTTGCGATGAGACCAGGAGACCCCGGCGAGTGCTGACAAGTATGCTTGAAAGGCGTCTTGCAATATGGGTGCGTGGAAGTGCGGCGAATAGACAAAATCCAATGTGGCAATTGCAGATAATGGTAGTGTTCTTGTTGCAAGATCTCAGGTGTCTCCCGAAGGGCTTCTCAAGATGGGAACAACTGGGTGGTTAGGAAACTGTGTACCTCCGGGAAGCTGTGGGAAGTACATCAGGAGAAGAAGTGGGGATGGTCTACCCCTGGAGGGAAAAGGGGATAATCGATATAAGGGACTACAAAGGGGACATCAAGTTGCCTGAATACCTACCGGAGTCCCACGTACGCAGACTGTGAAGCATGATAGGGCTCAATGTCAAAGGGTGTAATTTATGTGGTAGCCAAAACAAGTCATGCAAAGAAAGCGGGGCGTATCAGTCAATCTTTTAAGGCAAATTTGATTATGATTGGTGGTTTTGCCAAATGCAGTCAATTTACATGTGACGTCATCACGCATACCGGCAATGCCAGGTGGAATTCCTACATGCTGTGCAGATGTATGCTCACTCTTGTAAGTCTATATGAGCACTTTTTAATACATTTTTACCTTGCGCAATTATAGAATTGCCAGCCTTTTTTCTTTTTGGGTATGTATTGTATGATTGAGATGTAGAACCCTTGGAGGCCTAGGAGAGCTCAAGTCAGAATGATTTGTGACACATGCTTATCATTGCCACTCTGTCTATGGGGTTCATGGCTTTCTGGTAAGCGCATTTTCCTTTTGTGCACAGGGACCTTGACTTTCATGGCACTAAGAGGACTATCTTCCAATTTAGTGGATCTTTATACTGGGACTATGGACTTTTGTTGCACCAGCTCTTTATATATTTTTTATTTTCTTTCATTATTTACATGGTATATTCTATCATTTTGCACTTTTAACTATATTTGTTAAATTGGATCCTTTCACATGTGTTGTGCGGATGCATGATTTATATACATACATGTTGACTAAGTTATTATTTCAAACTCTTATTTTTCACATGTGGAATGTATGATTTAGTCACAATTAATAATTTAGTCATCTAGTGCCACTTATATGTTGTATTATAATCTTTCAATGCACATTTGATTATGATTGGTGATCATGCAAACGTGTTTGCACAGACATCTTTTTGACATTAAACTTGCTTTATGTAAGAGACAGCAACAAGGCTGCAGTGGGTGTGTTTGGGAATTTCTCTCCTGCATTAGATTAGGCTGTTTTTGACCTGAGTATGATATCCCTCACTGGCATCTCTTCTAGGAGAGGAGACCCAAAAGATCCCTTAAAGTGGTTTTAAACCTCAGACATGAAATATGAACAAAGCATATTCCTCTATAGTGTGTACTTCAATACAAAGCACTAAGTGTCATTTCTGTCTGCTTCTTCATTCTTTTGCTATCTTTATGAATCCCTTCTGACTAGTTTTTCTGACACCAAGAGGTAAAAAGGTGACTGGGGAGGGAGCTCCAGCACACCACCTGTGATTGACAGCCTTAGCTCTGTTTCTCTGTGCTGTGTGAATGGGGGTGTGTCCCTTTCCTCAATCAATCAACTCTGAGCCCTCCTCCATAATTCATATCACTAAAAGAAACTTACTGATTGGCATAATAAATATGTAAGACCTTAAAATAATAACAGTAAGGTGGGAATCTTACAAAAATATTGCTCATTGCCATACTTTGGCTCCAGGGGGGCTTAATGTGGAGTTGGAGATTCATACTGTCCTCTGAGTTTATACCATATATATGTCCCCAATAAGCCCTTCCTTAGGGCTCACTGCGCTTCTCAAAATCACTTTTCCAACTAATACCCCCAATCTTTATAATAGCTCTGGGTGTACCCCCTTATTATCCAACACTTACTGTTATTATTGTTTATCATTCTGCTTTATATATTTTACTTTAAATTTCATATTTAAAATCCTTTATATTATTCTGTAAAAGTGTGACGTTTATGGTTATTTGCCACACAAAAATACTGTCTCTCCTAAGGTTCAAGATGAGACATTATGTAGTTAGTTATACGTATTTTATTATGCCATATTTTACTGTATCTGTATTTTTTCATACCTCTATATAATTAAATTCTTTTTTCATTTTAATTTATTTATACAGGGCCCTTAAGGTCTCACATACAGTGCATCCAGAAAGTATTCACAGCTCTTAACTTTTGCCACATTTTGTTATGTGACAGCCTTATTCCAAAATGGATTAAATTCATTTTTTTTCCTCAACATTCTACAAACAATACTCCATAATGACAATGTGAAAGAAGTTTGTTTGAAATGATAGTTTTAAATGTCAAGCTGTATCTTTGTGTGACGTGCCACTTGTGTGCAGCGATGTCAGCTCGCTAGGTGGTCTTGTCCGCCAGCCCTGCTGCCCATATATACAGCCATGCCTCAACTTCCAGGACCTAGGTCACAGTCTGTCAGTAGAAGTGCATTCACACCAGCCGGGGAGCCCTTGGAGCCACCAGTGAGGCCAAGGCTGAGCCGAATCATGGACAAAGACACACAGCGGGACCAGACCAGCATATTGTAAGTGGGATTTTGACTGATACCCTTGACACAAATTTTTAATATGTGAGTTGCCAATTTTTTGTGCATTAAAGTTTACAGCCAACATACTGTACTTAGATGGCGCTGCTTGGCTCTTTTTTCTGTACTTTTATCAGAGTTGTTTCTGACTCCCATAGACTGGCAGCCACTGTTCAGTTTAAGTTGGAATTCATTATATGAACTACACTGGACTTTTATAGAGCATTTACATTTTTATTTATTTGCATTTCTCCTTTTTATCATCTTTGCATCTGTTCCCTCCCTCTCAGTGCACTACCATCCATTCATTGTAAATGGTCAATGTAATCGCATTTGTGTTTGCTGTTTATGCTTTTCCTTTAGGGTCATTATTGTGCTGCCATGTGGAGGCTGCGGTGATAAGTGCATTACATTTTTGCCAATGGATCTATTCACCATTTGTGTCTTGTAATTTTATTTTTGCTCAGTGATAGTTCCTACCTTTTTTACTGTACAATAAATGCTACTGAAGTGAGGAAAAATATTCTAATTGGTCTCCAGATACTTCATTCTTCTGCATTACCTATGTATTTGCATACATCTCTCTTGCATGACATTCAAAAATAAGTGTTTTGGTGAGCTCATTTATATTACAAAGACTGTCCACAGTAGTTGTCTTTGCTCCAGTCAGGCAAGGCATAGGGGTCCCAGGGTAGATATGTTATGATAAGTCAGAATACTTTATGTGTTGGACATTATCAGTGCATTGTAAGGCTTCTATGTTCAGAACATGGCCATGGCTTCTACTTCCAGAGCAGTCTGAACAATAAACAGGAGATTGCTTATTGGCTGTAACAGCCATAATAGATGAATGCAGCAATGATAATGGTGTTTTGGAGAGTTCAGCTATCTTACAAAGACTGTCTGCAAAACTTGTCTTTGCTTCATTCAGGCAAGGCATAGAGGTCTCAGGGTAGCTATGTTACTATAACAACTGAAGTCAGATAAGAAAGATGTTTACGGTGATGAATGTACTCACTTTAATTCCTGAATTCCACAGCATAGTAAGAAGTTTCATTCTCTCCTCTAAGTGCATTGGTTGGGCTGTTGCCACCAGTACTTGGGTTTCAGTGGTTCTGATTTTCTCACCTGACTCCTAAAGATAGGGTAGAGTGTACGTTAATAGTACAGAGACATATTAGTGTGGCAAAGCTATAAGTAAACACAGATGTAGGCTGTGAGAAAGCATTACTAATCAAAGAAAAAAAAATTAAATGGCACCCAACTCTTATCCTCACAGGGTTATTATTATAGGTACTTATATAGTGCCATCAATTTACACAGCACTTAACATATATACAGTATATTGTACATTCACATCAGTCCCTGCCCTCAAGGAGCTTACAAGCTAAGGTCCCTAAACTCACATGCATACACATACTAGGTCCAATTTACACAGAAGCCAATTTACTTACCAACATGTCTTTGGAGTGTGGTTGGAAACTGGAGTACCTGAAGGAAACCCACACTGACACAGGGAGAACATGCAAACTCCAGGCAGGTAGTGCTGTGGTTGGCATCTGAACCGACGGCCCTAGTACTGCTAGACGAAAGTTCTAATCACTTAGCCATTGTGCATCTCCTTTCATAGCATTCACAAATCCTCAGGTTGTCATGAACTTGCCAATTGGAGCTCCCTCCAGATCAGATACTTAGAGATACAATACAAATCCATACCTCTATATTAAGAGCACTCACCCCCTTGGAGCAATTGTGTTTAAGTGGGTTTGCCCCCAAAGGCCTACTTTCTCAGATCAACAAGTTGCAATGATCATTTCACTAGGCCCATTTTGCTTCTTCAAGGAGAAAGAACTCAATCACCAGGCATTGATCTCTACAAGGCTCCAGGAATCTGGCTATAAGCTCCTATCCCACTGGTATTATACCAGTGAAACACCACAAAAGCTTTCCAGAAACCATCCCTACGTGTTGGTAATGTTCTTAATCCATGGACACTTTACTACATTCAACCTTTTGTTAAACCCTTTTCCCTATCATAACTAAAATGACTGACACACAACCTCTTGACATTCTTACCTACTTTCTCCTACATTTGAACAATATGGACCCGATCACATAAAAATTCCTTACGTATACATCTTATCAATGGAACTAGTTTTGGAAACAGTCGCACACCCCTACTATAAAAAAATGACGTAGAGCTTAACATCATAAGCAACATGCAGTACCTAATTAGGTTAATGTAAAAACAAAATGAAAAGTTCTTACTCACCTGGTACCCATGGCTACTATTCTGATACTCAGATCAATACAACCTTACCATGACTAATATGTGAACATGGTTGATACAACTAGATGACACATGTTTTAATCAACTGTTTTTTTTCCATAAAGGAGATGATCTAGGCCTGAGAGAGAGAGGGAGAGAGAGACCCCCTTTGTTTTCTTTTCCTTTCTTCCCTCACCCCCCTTCCTTTAAGTCTTTCCCCCAGTACTGAGCCAACACAGGACGACTTGCTCTCCTCTTTCATCTGAGATTGCCGTTTTTGTTTGTACCATATGTATTGACTGTTACTTTTGTTACAATTTTTTTAATCTTAAAAAAACTTTGAAAAATAAAATGTTATAAAATACAATATTTTTCATACATTGTTTTCATACCTCTGCTTTTTTCTCTGCTATGGAAAAGATCCTCTCTATGCCAATGCTGATTCCCACGCATGGTACATTTCTGCCTTTAGCATCAAACATGCCCACCAGTTCATCATAACGACCCCCAGCTGCCACACTGCCAATGCCAATTGGATGATTCTGTGGTGTCTTATCGCTGAGCAGCACAGCTTCGTATATTACTCCGGTGTAATAATCTAACCCACGAGCCAAACTGATGTCAAAAACAATCTAAGAGGAAAAAAGATATTATTGGAAGACATATGGAAAGCCTAATAAACAAGCAGCATTCTATTTTTATTAAATTTTTATTCAAAGGTGAAATCCTTAACTGCATTGTCCTGTGCCGCCATGTGTTATATTTTTTACAGTCACACTACTGATTGCATGAATCCACACTCACACTTGTACGCTGGAGAAAGAGCTTGGGTTCCTGACCAGGTCAGTCACACCCCGGCCACATCAAGCCTGACCTTGAAATTGTGCGACTTACAGTGAAGTCGCACGATTTCAAAGTCGGGGGACATGCCGATTTCAGGTGCGATTTGTAAGACATCTGACACAGATGTCTATGCAAATCGCACTAAAAGTAGTGCATGTACTACTTTAGAAATTGGTGCGGCTCCAACCATATCAGACCCGCACCTATATGACCGATGTAAGGGTGCGACTTGGCATGCGATTTGCAAGTCGCATAGCATGCAAATCACATGCCAAGTCACACCCGAAGTGACCGGGGTGTTAGGCTGGCCATACATTATACAATTTTCTTGAGAATTTTGCTTTAGATTTACCAAAAACCATATAATATGAGGTCAAACCTAAACAACAAAATCTGGAGAGTGCAAAATCTGGTGCACCTGTGCATGGTAGCCAATCAGCTTCATAATTCAGCTTGTTCAATTAAGCTTTGATAGAAAAACCTGGAAGCTGATTGGTTTCTTTGCACAGCTGCACCAGATTTTGCACTCTCCAGCTTTAGTACATCCACCCCATTGCCTGATGCCTTTTGGATTAAGTAGTCATACAAGCACTACACAACTGCTAAAACAAGAAAGTAAGAGACTATTAATACAATGGCTGAGGGCTATTAATACAAGGTCTTTCTGACTGATTATTTATTTTTGTGATTTCAATTAAGTTTTAAAGGCGCCATCCAGGTTCGTCCATATCTTCCTATGAATCTGAAGTGAAGTCACTGACACCATAAGAAGTAGATATAAAACATGCAGCACCATCCCTGTGGCCCACTGGGAGTCTCCCTCCCCTCATTTTGTTCAGGCAATAAAACCTTCAGTAAGCTGCAAGGAAGGTGCCTTCAATGTAATACCTGCCAACCATCTGTCTTTCACAACTGCCACATTTGCCCAACGCTTATCACTGTCCAATGGGGTCAGCTGCTGGCAGCAACAAACTGGTTGTGGGACAGCAGGCACAGTAATACCTTCCATGCCTCTGCTTATTGTACAGCCACCTTGAAATCACTACAGTCTGGCTCCTGCCATTTGTTTCCTGTAGCCTGGCCTTTAAGTCTTCTTTGTGGCCTAACCCTATTATATTGCAGCCTCTATATCTATCTGAAGCAGCTCTCAAAATCTAACTTTTAAAAACTTTTGTATCTAAGTATTTATCAGATCACAAAACGAGAACACCATATAGTCATGCAGGTTTGTATTATGCTGAAGAAGGTGCAGGTGAACAGTGAATTTGAGCTAAAGAGAATGCTACACACCAAATCTGATGTAAAAGAGCTCATTGAATGTGGGCTAGAGAAGGTGCTACACAGTGAATTTAAGCTAATGAAGTTTCATCTGGTAAGGGAATTTGAGTAAGTAAAAGTTTTTATTTAAAAAAAAAAAAAAAAAAAAAAAAAAAAAAATCCAATTTCCATTTATATCTGTCAAAGCGTGGCCTACAGATGAAGGTGCGACTGCTATTGCAGCCTATTCTTAGACTACAGTCTGACATGCCTCCAATAAAGGCTCTTGGAACGGCCATTTTTCTGGCCTTCCAGGTCCCTACTGAATTGGCTATTATGGCATGACTGATGCAAGTGGGGTTCAATGAAAGCAGCAGGTAGGGATGTCATCCTCTAAGAGAGAACAAGCCATATCTGTGCTCCAAACAAGGGCTGACACTTTTCATTTTTTAAAAGGAGGCTTCACAATTTAAATGAGAATTGCACAAAGCCTTTTTCATTAGTACTAAATGACCATTGGCTGCTATTAATACCTGTTCTTTGTCAGTTTTTTTTAGTAAGGGGGAATGTCAAAGTAGGATCAGCAACATAAATAAATACTTTGCTGTTACAAGCAACATCAATATGTTACTCTTATCCAGCAAAGTTTAACCGCTTGCCCGCTGCCCTATAGTAGAATTACTGCTACAGGTCGGCAGGTCTGTGCAAAATCAAGCATATATAAGTGATTTGCATTTCTGGGTAGGAGGCGTGCTCGCGTGCTGCCCTACCCACGCCGTCACTGGTGGCTACGGATGTCAATCACCAGGTCTCGGCTGGAGAATCCCTGCCGGCACCCGGCGATCGCGGAGCAACACTGACATGGGAGAGACCTATGTGTAAACAACACAGGACTCTCTCCTGCCAGCAAGAACATGCTACTTGTCACGATCGCAAGATCGCTGCCACCAACATGCGACGATCACACGATCGCGACGTTCAATATGTGACGAACGCGGTGTCAGACCCCAGCCCTTCTCACCAAACTCATGACCGAAGGACTAGCCAATCTAAAACCGTGATGTCACATGCGTAACAATGCCACACCCAGCTGCACCCTGCACAACGAATTTCCAGCTAATGGACCACAGATCGATGTACCGGCAGCCTGAGCGATTGTTACTGGGTCAGGTTAATTACGCAATTAACCCTTCACACTGCCACCACCTCCTTTTTGTCAGAAAAAGAGGAAACTCAGCGATCTCAGCTAAAACACTATAATGATTGAAATAAGCGTCTGCATAACACGGTCATAACACTGGCCAGTTATACAGAGGGTTAAACAAACAGTAGCGTTCTCTTTAGAGGCAGGGATTCGTAAATTGCAATACAGAGCTATAAAAACAGGAATAAATATATATATATATATATATATATATATAAATAAATATACAGAGAATAACAGCACAGCAAAGAGATAACAGAGAGAGGTTAAAGGGTTAAGGTGCTTGCCATTAAGCCTTGGATGTAAGCAGATCAAGTTTCTGAGCAGAAGAGGCATGGGTCTCCCCCAGGTGGTATTGATGTTAAAATGGGAGACGTCTTCAACTTCCTTTCTCTTAGGTCTGACAGCCTGTTTTGTAGTCCCCAGTAGGGGGTGTCTCTTAAGTCAAGGCCCAATAACCCATTTAGGGCGTGTAGTTATGGGCGGATGCCTCAACTAGAGCACAAATCGTCCATAACCCATATTTTGGGCCATAGCTGTCCATCTGCACAAGTGACTTTCCACCCGCGGGTAGATTATTATGCAGACACGTCTGAGGATTGATTAGATATGAATTATGAAAGTGTACACTGTACGGTTCGCGAGATCTATTTTTCTGCTTTCCTGTGTGTTCGCCTGCTTATTGGCCATCTGCCGATATGCCTGTTTTTTATGTAAGTCTCTCATATTCCAAGATATGAGACAGGGGAAAACACTTAACAGAGGTTATCTGATTCTATCACCTACGCTGAGTTAGGTTTATGAGGTCAGAATCCCTTTCAACTCTTGGGAAAGCTTGCCTTATCTCTTCTGAGGTGTGAATTGGCACAGCTTTCCGAGACAGCTAGGCACCTAGCTCAGAGATGCCTTGGCCTGCCAGTGACCCACAACCAGCACACACACACACACAGCTGACCAAATGTCTCCTCTCAGAGAGGGAGGGGGAGGGAAGAATAATGGAGAAATGGATACTCTTAACAAGATGGAGTCTGCGTCCTTCACTGTGTGCTGCGCACATTTGCGACACTGCTGTGTATTTCTCTGAACACACACAGCACACAGTTAATCGTTTGATCGCCCCATATGTTAACCCCTTCCTGCCCAGTGTCAATAGTACAGTGTTAATGCTTTTTATTAGCACTGATCACCCTATTAGTGTCATTGGGATGTCAGTGGCAGGAAGTCAGTTCCCAACCAGTGTTAGAATGCCTGCCGCAGTCCTGCTATAAGTCGCTGATCGCCGCCATTAATAGTATAAAAAATAAATATTCCAGTATATACCGTATTTTTCGCTCCATAAGACGCACCTAGGTTTTAGAAGCAGAAAACAGGAAAAAAAATTCTCAACTAATGGACTGCAGACATACTACAGGAGATGACCAGAGACTGCGGACAGCACAGGGATGACCAGAGACTGCGGACAGCACAGGGATGACCAGAGACTGCGGACAGCACAGGGATGACCAGAGACTGCGGACAGCACAGGGATGACCAGAGACTGCGGACAGCACAGGGATGACCAGAGACTGCGGACAGCACAGGGATGACCAGAGACTGCGGACAGCACAGGGATGATGGACACCAGGGATGACCAGACTGCGGACAGCACAGGGATGACCAGAGACTGTGGACAGCACAGGGATGACCAGAGACTGTGGACAGCACAGGGATGACCAGAGACTGTGGACAGCACAGGGATGACCAGAGACTGTGGACAGCACAGGGATGACCAGAGACTGCGGACAGCACAGGGATGACCAGAGACTGCGGACAGTACAGGAGATGACTGCTGACCTTTGGGGAGGGAGCGGGTACCTGAATTTTGGGGAGGTGGGGAGCAGGTACCTGAATTTGACAGGTACCCGCTCTTACTTCCGCGGAGTTGTTCTTTGATCTTACCTGTTCCTCTATCCAGCCGCGCGCTGTTTTCCCGGCTTCTGTAGTGTCGGCGCTTGGCATGACAGCCGGGTGCCCAGTGTGCATGAGCGAGAAGCACTTGCGCTTTGTGATTGGTCCGGCGGCTTCTGGGATCTGTCATGTGTCCCAGGTACCGCCTTACCATTCACAAAAGGCACTGCTTCTTGCGCATGCACACTTGGCACCCGGCTGTCCAAGCCCAGCGTTCACACTACAGAAGCCGGGAAGACAGCGCGCCGCTGGATAGAGGAACAGGTAAGGTCAATGAACAACTCCGCGGAAGTAAGAGCGGGTACCTGTCAAATTCAGGTACCCGCTCCCCACCTCCCCAAAGGTCAGCAGTCATCTCCATAAGGTCCCGCTGCAGAGCTGAGCGGCCGGCCTGGTATTCTGACACGGTGGCGGTGGAAATACCGGACAGGCCGCTCCATATTCGCTCCATAAGACGCACTGACATTTTCCCCCCTTTTTTGGGGGAAAAAAGTGCGTCTTATGGAGTGAAAAATACGGTATACACCGCCATTTGAAGACGCTATAACTTTTACGTAAACCTATTCATTTACATGTATTGGGTTTTTTTTTTAGTGTAGCAGAATACATTTTGGCCTAAATTTATGAAGAAATTAGATTTTTAAAAATTTTTTACTGGATAGGTTTTGTAGCAAAAAGTCAAAAATATAGTTTTTTTTTTTCAAAATTGGTCTTTTTTTGTTTATAGCACAAAAAATAAAAAATGCACAGATGATAAAATATCACTGAAAGAAAGCTCTATTTGTGGGGAAAAAGGACATAAATTTAATTTGGGTGCAGTGTTGCACGACCGCGCAATTGTCAGTTAAAGTATCACAGTGCAGTAGAACAAAAAATGTTGTTGCAAAGTATATGCAGAAGCAAGGTTTTTTTTCCCCTTTAGAACATTGCAAACTGATAATATATATTAAGATGATCTTTATCACAATGTACAAAAATAAAGACAGTAAAGTTCTCTATATACTGTATGTCTGCAAGCAATGTATTTGTTTTTTTTCCGTATAAAATGTTTGTGCATTTTTAAATTTAAGACAAAAATACCTTGGGTACAAACCTTGTCTGCCACCCCAAAGATTTCCAGGTATCGGTGCAGCAATTTGAAGTCATTCAAAGCTTCCATAGCCAGTATGTTCTGAGACACCAGAGGTTCTTCACTTAGTTGCTGTATCAGGGACAAATCACCTGAAGAGGGAAAACCATCTGAAGATGTAATACTCATATAAATAACACAAAATTAAAAACACTTATTGTATTATCAAATGTGACAAACTGGTGAAGCTAGTCACATTGAACCTCACACAACATAATTGGTGGCACAAGAGATGTTCCTTCCAGCAGAGGAAAGAATATAGTTTTTGTGTGTACAGTGCGGCCACATATACTTTAAAGGTTTGAAGCATGGATTTGATAGGCAGTTGGAGAATACAGACTAGTTTTCTTTGAAAGGCTAAGAACACTTTCAGTATATCATAGTTTCAGCATATAATTTCCTATAACAGTGTTGCCTGAAGCAATACCAAGACACTGTGTAGTGCATGCACTAGTACAACACTGTGCATTTCTGGTGCCAACTGGACCTGAACTCAAAACATGAGGATTTTCTATCCTATAGAGAATATCTAGATACGTTTATTGTCCTGTACAGTACCCTATAAAATAGCAGTACACTTCCTGGAATGTGAGGGTGCCTAGGCACTCTTGTGCATACATCATTATAGCTGTATATCTGAAGTGTGTGATCTCAGACACTTCTGGCTGTGACTGTAAGTCTCAGATTTGGTGGTGTCACTACTAAATGCAGCTCTAATCACTTATTTATCGTCAGCCCCTCCTCCCCCTCTTCATAAAATGTAAAAAAATATATATATTTTAAGGTGGGGGATCCTTTTTTCAGCAGAGTGGAGTGCAGCCAGTGTCTTTACCTTTCTGGTCAGAATTATGCCTCCCACCACCCGAAACCTCCTGAAGTGCCCACATCACAGATCTCAGGAGGTTTCAGGGCTGTGTACAAACCACAGTGCATGCACAGTGCAGCACCATCCGTGTCGTAGCCTGCAGCTACGACCTGGACGAGATAGCTGGCCTCCTGTTGGTGTCACAAAGAAGATGCCAGACCAGGCAGTAGAGCGGCGTATGCCAGATGACAGTGCTGGATTTGCTGGGCGAGTATGTTATTTCAGCAAACCACTTCAACTATACAAGAAGGGGTTAATATCAAAATTAACCTGGGGGGAGTGGGGTCTGAAGTTCCTCTTAAAGTACCTCTATATATAAAGCCCACAATAATTTAGGATTTTGGTCCACTCCGTCAATTTGCTGGCAGCACTTATACCCTATGTTGGAAGTGTTTAAATCTACAGCAAGTAGGTAACAGCAGCATATTATTTCTATCAATATTATTCTAGGCATGCAAAGATCAGAAGCATGTTCAGGTGTTAATGTTTGAAAAAATGACATGGGGGTGTTTTTAATCCACATAGAGACCTACAAAAATACTTACTGCTAACAGGCAGCACAGGCATAGAGCACATGAAGTTACAACAGTACATTTTTTGCATTCATCATACAGATAAATATACAATTAAAAGCGCTTTGTCTAACAGACCAAAAAGAGAAATTTATTGTTAAGGTGTACATACTTAAACTTTTTTTTTTTTAGCAGATTCTAGCTAAGACAGATGGGAATATGGATACTGTAAAAATTAGACATAATCTGTGAGAAGATCTTCCCATTCGCCTTTCTAGAAGAAATTTTCATTAAATAGCCATGAAAAAGCCAACCAACGATAAAGCTCATCTATACAGCTATTTAAAAGGCTACCCAATCCCCATGTGGACTAGGCTGCTTCCAGCACAACCAGAGTAAAATCCCCACCTGCTGCTTGAAGGGTTCATTGAACCATACCAGCAACAGTCCTGCTGTGCATACTGTATGCATACTGTATGAGCTTAGCTATTTTTGACCAGAGCATGTCCTATCCAGATGAACTGAATTGCACTTGCCAAAAGAGCCAAGCACAGCATGACATGGGTGGGACTTAGGCTGTTAATGAAATAGCAATTTATGCTATGGATCAAAATATATAACCTCATCAATACACTAAAAAACACAAAAGAATAAATATCTGGCTTTCCTACACTAGACTGCTGGAAGAGAGGCTCCTATCTCCATGATCACATCAATTTTCAACCCTTGATCCTCCATACCATGGCTCTATTAATTTTTTTTCCCTCTTTCCACTCCCTTCTTCCTTCTCATTTTTTTTTTCTCTCTTTCACTGTCCTACCCTAATCTTCTTCAAAACTTCCCCCTTTCATCAATTCTCTAATTCTGTCTCATGTCCTTACATCTTTCTTTACCATCATACCTAACACCTAAAAAATAACCTCCCCTTTGGCACCACTCATAATGGCCCACACTTCTTTAATATGCACTTAGTCAAGTTATTTCACGATTTCAGCTCACCAGAACATCACTAGAAATAAATTGTACTATGAATCATCGAACTAAATGTTGCTGATGAGGGAGTCCCAATAACCAATTTGAGCTATATGTGCCCTTTTTTTATGAGTCACGTTTGTTTAAAATACTTTAATATGTCTTTGCCTATGACATGCTCTATACCAGGGGTTTTGAATTAAAATTTATGTTGGTCCGGTCAGCAAAATTTCCTTCCAGCAGAGGTCCGAATCTCATTAGCGATATAACACATCACAGTCCCCCGGTACATTATCATCTTTAACGTACCTTTCACACTGTAGTCCCCTCTACATCACAGTCCCCTCTTTAAAGTCCCACAGTGTCCTCAGTTCCCCTTCACATCACTGCCCCCCTTTACATTGCAGCCCCTTTGATCCTTAACACAACACACAGTGCCCCTTAACACAACATATCCCCCTTAACACAACACAGCGCCCCTTAACACAACACAGCGCCCCTTAACACAACACAGCGCCCCTTAACACAACACAGCGCCCCTAACACAACATATAACACAACACACAGCGCCCCTTAACACAACACAGCGCCCCTTAACACAACACAGCGCCCCTTAACACAACACAGCGCCCCTTAACACAACACACAGCGCCCCTAACACAACACAACACAGCGCCCCTAACACAACACAGTGCCCCTAACACAACACAGCCCTAACACAACACAGCGCCCCTAACACAACACAGCGCCCCTAACACAACACAGCGCCCCTAACACAACACAGCGCCCCTAACACAACACAGCGCCCCTTGACACAACACAGCGCAGCGCCCCTAACACAACACAGCGCCCCTAACACAACATATCCCCCCTAACACAACACAGCCCCTAACACAACACACAGCGCCCCTTAACACAACACAGCGCCCCTTAACACAACACAGTGCCCCTAACACAACACAGCGCCCCTTAACACAAGCGCCCCATATCCCCCTTAACACAACACAGTGCCCCTAACACAACATATCCCCCTAACACAACACAGAGCCCCTAACACAACACAGCGCCCCTAACACAAACACAGTGCCCCTAACACAACACAGTGCCCCTAACACAACACAGTGCCCCTAACACAAACAACACAACGCCCCTTGCCCCTAACACAACACAGCCCCCCTAAACACAACACATCCCCCTTAACACAACACAGCGCCCCTAACACAACACAGCGCCCTAACACAACACAGCGCCCCAACACACACAGCGCGCCCCTAACACAACACAGCTTAACCCCTTAACACAACACAGCGCCCCTAACACAACACAGCGCCCCTAACACAACACGCCCCTTAACACAACACAGCAGCGCCCCTAACACTAACACAACACAGCACAGCCCCCTAACACAACATATCCCCCCTTAACACAACACAGCGCCCCTAACACAACACAGCGCCCCTAACACAACAAGCGCCCCCCTAACACAACACAGTGCCCCTAACACAACACAGTGCCCCTAACACTAACACACACAGTGCCCCTAACACAACATATCCCCCCTTAACACAACATAGCGCTGTGACGGTGCGCGGCGTCAGACCCCAGCCCTTCTCACCAACTTGTGACCCGAAGGACCAGCCGATCTCAAACCACACTGTCACTTGCGTAACAATGCCACTCTCAGCTGCGCCCTGCACAAAGATTTTCCAGCTCGCTGGACCACAATCTATGTGCCAGCAGCCTGGGAGCCATTGTTACTGGGTCAGATTAATTACGCAATTAACCCTTCACACTGTCACCAACACCTTTTTACAGAGAAGGAGGAAACTCACAAATATTAGCAGTAACACTATGATATCAGAATAAGCGTCTGTAATACACACTGCCACCGCAGACAGATGTATTCAGAGGATTAATACATACAGTAGCACTCTCCAGAGACAGGGATTCTTAGTTTGCAATAAGAGCTGTAGAAACAGTTTCAACACTTTTCAGAAAATAGGATTTATTACTAAAAAGGTCAAAATGGTGCAATTAAAATATTTACAGAAAAAAGATGTAACAAATATATATATTATAATATATATTAAAATATATATATATATATATATATATATATATGAGAGAGAGAGACACAGAGAGAGAGAGAGACAGAGCAATAAAACAACAGAGAAAGAAATAAAAGAAAGAAGTTTCAGAAGGCAGGATACTTGCAAAAGTCCTTGGTTTGAGCAGCGTCCAATCGTCAGATCAAAAAGGTTGCCTTTCTTCCCAAAGATGGTTCCGGATGTTAAAAGGGAGAGATCTTTCTTTCTCCAGGCATGTCAGCCTTTTTTCTAGTATCTCAAAGGGGTGTCTCCTGAAAGCAAGGAGCCAATCGCCTCATTTGGGGATGGGTGTTAGGCGATGACCAAGGTTATGACCAAATCCCTTACAAGTTCATACTACGGTCAATAACCTTCAATAGGTACAGGTAGGCATCCTAGCAACTGGCATATTAATATGTAGAATCAAATTCCAAACATACAGATACCAAATTGTAGCATATCCTGCCACTCCGGATAAAAGATATTGCTTTCTACCCTCTTGTAGGCGCTACATAGGGATGTAAGGTGTCATGTGACTCGTATTAAAATGACCTATCCGAATATATATTTCATATCAATGTGCCCAGTTCCTGCTGAAGTTTATGAATTTGTATGAAAAATGACTCATGTGGGATGTATGTTTTATGGCACCCCTG